GGTTAGTGTATAGTCTTGTTGGTTTATGTAGATGATATTATTCTCATAGGTGATGATTCTGTACGCATTGATCAAGTAAAAAGGGATTTGGGGCACACCTTTGATATTAAGGATTTGGGGAGTCTCAAATATTTTCTTAGGATTGAGGTGGCTCGCTCATGGCAGGAAATTTCCTTATCTCAGAGAAAGTACACTCTTGACTTACTTCAGGATACTGGCATGTTAGGGTATAAACTTGCTTCTACTCCTATGGATCCCAATGTCAAGCTCACATCAGAGTTTAGCGAGTTGTTAGAGAACCCAAGCATGTATCAATGTCTTGTTGGACATCTAATTTATTTGACCAACACTAGACCTGACTTGATATTTGCAATCAGTGTTGTTAGTCAATTCATGCATGCACCTCATACATAACATCTTGATGCGGTTCATCACATTTTGAGATATTTGAAGACTTCTCCTGGCTTGGGATTATTTTTTATAGTTGCTCCTCAATCTAGGTTCTCTTGTTTTACTGATGCTGACTATGCAGGATCTAAAACTGATTGGCATTCTACTTCTGGCTTTTGTATTTTCTATGGTGATCATCTTATATCATGGAAGAGTAAGAAGTGGGTAGTTGTTTCTAGGTCTTCTGCAGAAGCTAAGTATCGAGTTATGGCACAGGGAACATGTGAGTTTCTATGGCTTTGTTCCATCCTAGCAAAGTTGGGTGTTGAGGAGATTGGTCCTGCCTCCTTATTTTGTGACAACAAGTCTGCTATTATGCTATCCTCTGGTTTTGTCTTTCATGAACGTACTAAGCATATAGAGGTTGATATTCATTTCATTCGAAAAAAGGTTTGGACTGGTATTGTGAGTCCTTTCTTTGTCTCTTTCTCTCAGCAATTAGCAGATATGTTCCTAAAGTTTATAGGACCAACATTACTCCAGCCATCCATTGGCAAGCTGTGATTGTTGAATATCTTCACACTAGCTTGAGGGAGAGTGTTAAATATAGAAATTAAAGTACATAGAATTTTTTTATTTTTAGTATTATGTATATAATCTGTGATTGTGTCAATCACCGATTTAGTGTTTTATTTATATTGTTTCCTTATTTATATCGTTTCCTAAATTGTATCATGAATCTATTATATATACGTGGCCTCTACCTCATTCATTGGTAAGCCAAATCATTCCTTTCATCATTTTACACAAACCTAAACCCTAATATAATAATATATTTTCTATGTCATGTGGCAACTAACATGGCATTTTCTGTCTAATTTTTAACAGAAGTTAGCTCTAGGAGTAAATTGAGAAAAACTTGGAACATGGAAGGCCCAAATTTTTGGGGGGCGGGGAGAGGGGGAACTTCAAGGGCTAAAGTGGGAAAATGGCCAAACATAAAGGGGGCAAAGTGTAATTTACATTATGAAATTAGTAGAAGGACGTCAATATAACATGCTTACGAGAAACAAAAATAGAAAGTAGAAAATATTATGTATAAAATTTAGGGAGATTTGGTGATAAACCCCTCACTGTCTAATTTGTCTTTCAAAAGGATAAGAATTATATAGGTACTTTCAAAACCTCCTAATATTTTAAAACTTATTTCTTTTACTATATTATCCTCATATCTATCAGCTTTCATATTAAGCCATCTTCACAGTATATTTCAGAGTAAAATTTTACTTTGAATCATAGTAAACTTTACTCTAAATCAGAGTAAAATTTACTATGATTCAAAGTAAAATTTTTTATTGTTAAGCAAATCAATATGTTTACTCTGAATCAGAGTAAAACTTTACTCTGAAAGTATAATTTTACTTTGAGTCAGAGTAAAATTTTACTCTGAAATTTTACTCTGAAAGTACAATTTCACTCTGAATCAAAGTAAAATTCACTATGATTTTAAATAAATTTTACTCTGAAAAAAGAAAAAAAAATTACTATGATTCAATGTTCAAATCAACACAACCCATTTCTCAGTATAATAATAATAATAATAATAATAATAATAAAAATTTAATCTCAAAATACATTTTCACAAAACATAGATAATTTCAATGGTGAATATTCGAGGCGTTTTGCGTTTGTTTCTTCTATTACTTTCAATAAAAGCTTGTACAAAGCCTGTACAGATAGAGAGACCAACGATCCAACAACACCACCTCTGGTTCAAAATCTATTTAGATTTCTATATATTTATGTGCATAATCAATCAGGTAAGAGATTGATATGTGAATATATATATATATGTCAATTCCTTGAACCTCAAGCCTCGATCCTTGGCGAACCTAACCTTGACCAGATCTTTGACCGTCGGGACCAACTTTGAGGTTGCGAGCATGGCATTTGCGATCTTCGGCCTCTTTATCTACAGTAGCAGTGGTGTTGGGATCGACAACTAACTGAGCAGTGGTCGATGACAGATTGGAGAAGAAGATGAAGATGAGAAAGAAGAGAGAATAGAGAAAGAGAGCCAGATCTGTATGTCTGTGTATGTACGTATTTATCTTGTGCGACGATTGTTCAGCGCCATCAACGACAGAGGAAGAGCAGAGCAGCGACGGGACCAGAGAGAGAGTGGGTGGAGAAGGTGGGAAGATTTAATTGAGGGTATAATAGTCTGATAAAATATTTAAATAACAAATTTTGTCCTTTATGCAAGACTTTATAATTATGAACGGGTTTAGATAGTATAATTTTTTTCTTAGTCCTTTTAACAATGAAAGGAAGGTAAAAGGGGTTTATAGCCAAATTTCCCTAAAATTTATTATACTGGAAAAGATAGAGACAGAAATGGTGTAGGAATAATTATAGCTAAATATCTTAAAGATAAGGCAGTAGCAGTTATGATACGAGAATAGGAGACAAAATAATGCTAATTAAACTTGTAATTGGAGAAAGTATAATTAATGTAATTAGCGTCCATGCACCACAGTAGGATTGGTAGAATATATTAAAAGATAATTTTGGGATCAATTGGATGAGTTTATGCAACATACTTGTAGGAGAGAAGATAATTACAAGTGAAGATGTCAACAACCATGAAGGAAAAGGAAAGCAAGGATACAAGAGGGTACATGGTGGATATGATTTTTTGGACCGAAATGAGGCCAGACATGACACTGAATAACTTTTAAGAGTGCGTCAAATAAATAGAAGAAAATACGGACTGCTTTGTATGTAAAGATTGCAAGGTTGTCCTTGGAAAGAGTTTATTGTCACAGTATAGGCTAACAATACTAGATATATTTATTAACGGGTAAAGTTAAACCAGAAATATATTGAAACCCACAAATTAGATGGTAGAATCTAAAGGTGAGAAATTAGAAATATTGAAATATAAAAAGTTTAAAGAAGCAACTAGAGTTTTGCATGATTCCTATTAGCGGGACTGTCTCAAGGAGTCATGAGGTGTTGCATGTGTTCAGTCAATTACAATAAGAGAATTTCCTCCTCTGAGTATGTTCAGATCTTATTTTATACCCACCAATGCAACCAAATATTTCATTTTGGTGGTATTACTGTGGTCATAGCTGAGTAGAATCACAAAGGCAGCACTCGTCATTTGGATTATACCTTAGTCAACTGTTTTACAAGCAAGACTACTTTAAGCATGGAGAATAAATTTCAGGGCTGGTTTGATTCGTTATTTTGTGGCTAAAAGTTGCTGAAACTTTTGGGTTTTAGGGTTTTTAAAAGTTGTTACAAAATGTTCAGGATGTGGAGGTTTTTACTAAATGAGGAACGCATAGAGTTTTTGGGGTCTGTGACTTCCTCTTTGAAAATGTTCATGAACCATGTTAACATCTCTTTTGTGACCTTTGTGTGAAGGGTTGATTGGTAGAAGAGGGAATGTGTGGGATTGCCAAATATAATTTTTGATATTTGGAAAGGGTGAAAGATATCTTTTCCTGAGCTTCTTAAAGTGAATATATATGCAAGTGTCTGTGAAGAAGACAATTCTAGGAATTACTCGTAGAATCCCTAAGGTATCAAGTTTGTGGTTGGTTAGACTTGTGTGGCCCTATCTTCAAAGAGCCTGTCTGGATGGAAAATTCTGTCAAACTTGTTCTCTATTGAATTGGAATAATCACGTCTACATATGGCTCTTAGGACAACTCCAATGCTAACTAGGACCATTATTTTAAAACAAAAACCAAAGATTTTGGCAAGTGAAGTCCATATAATCGTTCTAGAAGTTATTCAGAATTGACCTAGATCATACTTGACCAAAACTTTGACCCATGGGTTTCCACTACAGTCCATTTCTTGCAAAATCTTGAAATTGTCAAAATGTCCCTCGGTCCTAAAAATAGGAAAACCATATAAAAACAACTGTAATCAGACTTAGGTACACCATAAAGCAAAAGTTCTTATTGACTCAAAACATAATTTTTTAAGTTCCCAACTAGGACCTATAACTTCTGTTAAATTAAGGCCTAGGCCAAGCAAGCATCTCTTCCATGCCTTTTGCAACCTTCGGGTGCGTCCACTTATTTTTGTCAATAATAGTTAAATGTTTCATTGTAGCTATGCAAGATGTGTATTATCTGATATTATAGCATTGTGTTTTTCATTCTTTTTAATGTTTCACTAGTATGTAGACTCAGGTCCATGCTAATTGAATCGCTTACTTTTCTTTTCTTCTCTCTAGCTGGGCCATAACTTAAGCTAATGAAAATATAATTTTATCTAAGGTCCCTTGGTTTATTGCAATAAATCTTTCTTTGTTACGTCATGCAATCATATTGCATTGAAGTAATTAACATTGGTACCACCTGTCTTGTCTGGCTTCCCTTTTGTTTTTGGGGCATTGGGCTAAGATTGTTCTTCAAAATTTTGTCATGAAATCCTACTACATTGACTTGAGCCTCATATATCTTGTCTGCTTTGCAATTTTAACCATAATGTGCTGGCCAATGCATGATTTGTTAGTTTGCTAGTAAACTACATACCTGGTATGTATATATGTCTACTGTGTTAAATTTCAATTCAATCATGTTTAGGATCAAGGGTTGGTGCTATGTGGGAGCAAAAGGATGCTGATTTTTTTAATAACTCAAAGGAGGGTCCCTGTATTGAATACGACAAAGAATTGTTTGATGCATGCATGAGACGATTCTTATATGTTCGTTGTTATGATAGTTCAGAATTTCTTGCAACTCTTAAGGTTAGAAGCTCCTCTAATTATAATTGGTTATTGCTTCACTGAATAAGAGTTTTACCTGATCAAACCGTCATTCATGGTGGTGTTAACCATGTCATGTGCAAGTTCCCCTTGAGACATAGTTGATACTTTTTGTCTGATGTAATCAAGTTTTCTGTATGCTATTTGGTGCAAATATTCAAATATGTATGTTTGGAGATTTGTGTTATTGGCCTTTTGAGTCTTTGACTGCATTATGGACCAACTTAAGTAGTGCTATTTCATATTCATAGAGTTTGAAGGAACTTAGTCTTGATTTGCATCCAACTTATTGTGTAAACAAAGCTAGTTTTGTATATTTGATGTGGGGTAAATGTGTATACTTGGTTATCTATGTCAATGATTTCTGTAAAATAATATATATGGACCAATCTTTTTCCCCTGGTCTTCTTGTTGTGCCTAGGAACCACTGGTAAAAGAACATATGCAAGAACAACTTGCAAATATAGCTGGCATGTCACAGTGTCCCAAGTATCGCTCGCTCACTTGCTTGCCTGCCTAAGCAAGCTCAGTTGGTACAACTTTGCTCTTGCTATTGGGTTGTTGCAAACTTGCCATTGAACGTAGAGGAGGTTGGATGGGTAATTGGTAAGATCTAGTATGGATCGTACATGGACAGTAGTTGGAGTATGCTATTCTCCTAGGGTTGGGAAGAGGATCAAGTTGGCTCTATTGATAGTTGAAACGATGATAGGGTGTGTTGAGGATTAGGGGGCAAGTAAAGCCAGTCTCTCAAGGCTAGGATGGTGGTGATAGGGAAGACACCAAGGCTAACTGAGGTGACCTTTGAAGATATACCCAGATATCCAGCACACAATAAATGTGCACAATTGGTAAAGTTGTGAAGGCCTAGCCTCTTGAATCCATGACGATGGTTGTCTACTTGAACTCCATAGAGATCGCAGTACAAATTCTGGATCCATCCCTTGAAAGTGTTCTTTGATTGGCGCGCCAAGCTTGTTAGATCTCCCTGGTGTTGTTCCATTTGCTTAGTCGCTTGTTGGTGTTAGTGATGGAAGCTTGCAGAGTGTCAACAATGGCCTTTTGCTCTGCAGCCAACCTGGGGGTAGCTAGATTAGCAAACCAAAATTTCAAGAAGAGTTAGTGTCATCCTAAGAAGCACGGAATGGGACACGACAATTTTCAAAAGATTACGATACGAACACAGTGTGGATACAACAAAAGTATGCATTTTTAAGGTAAATTACACCAAGACCCTCTCACCTATTATCGATTATCACATTACCTCCTTCATCTATGAACTTGGACATTTTGACTTCAATTATAAAATTGTATCACTTTCTCCCCCTCTAGGCCTCCTCCGGAGAAAGGGGGTGGGCGACATTTGTATGTATGGTCTTTATAGTTGATGGAGTCAATATGTGTTTGTTCATAGATGAAGGGAGGGGGGGTAAGATAGCATTTGCTAATAGTTAAGGGGGTCTGGTGTAATTATTATAAATTTATAACCCATATTTTTTTTGGCTAATATTTATCCACAAACAACCAAAACAATAGCAGACAAACTAATACTAATTCACATGAAAAGACTACTCAATCTATAATGTAAACATATTATCTAAAAAAAAATCTATAATTTAAACACAGTTCAACATAATAAGTACTATTTCATCAATCATAAACAGTCATCACAAACGTCAAAATCATTTAAGTTCTATAATAAATTTATCATCCATAAAAATACATAAATAGCCACTGTTTTATTTAAGAAGCAATAACATGGTGTTAACATTGTCAAAAGTTTGTACCAATTGGAGGTTTCAAATGTAAAAAACACCAAATGATTAAGGCATAAACATAATGACGTCACCTGCTAACCAACTGTGTGTTGGTGGATGTCACTCACCTGACAGGCAATGGCTACAAAGTTCTCCACTTATCAGTGATATGCACGATTGCTCTTTTGGGCATGAAAGTGTACTCTCAAGGGCTTTAATGTAGATACATGAGTTTGACACAATGTGGCATTGTGTTAGGGTGCGCCCCTCCAAGGGTCAACACCTTGATGCCACACATTTGTGCCCTTTGGAGAGCTAAAGACATGCCCAAGAAGTTGTTGGTGCAAGTGCAAGTAAAAGCCCAAGGCATAGTGCAAGACAGCTTATGGCATGCAATGAGACAGCACATGTTAGGCTGCAGCCAGCAGCAGCCCAGGTCGCAGCCAGCAACAGCCAGCAGTAGCCTAGGTTGTAGCCAGTAGCAGTCCAGGCCGTGGCCAGCAACAACCAACAGCAGCCCAGGCCGCAGCTTTGCCAGCAGCCTAACGGCAACGCCAGGCCACAGCAGGCTGTGGCCCCGGCCGTAGCAGGCCGCGGCCCCAGCCACAACAGGCCGCAGCCTTGCCTGTGCAGCAGCAACTTTAGGCCACATTTTAGAGGCTCAAATACCTTAGTATTAAAGGTGTTTTGGGACCAAGTTTTGTAATTTTTCTCTTTTTGTAGAATTTTTAGAAATTCATTAGGACTCCTCAAACATAGAGGATGTTTCCTCTTGCTAGCTAGGAAAAGGCTTAACAAGCTATATTAAGGAGGGGGCACCCAAGTGTTGAACCAGACCACTTGTGCCTTTAAAGTACCCCAACCTAGCCAATGGTAAGGCAACTTTTGTAGCACTTTTGGTGCATTGTTCAACTCATGTAATGCCTACTTTTGATCAATGCAAAAGCTCATTTCGCCTTTACATTGTACAAAGCTTTTCTAGTGTTGCTTGCTTTAATTATAGCTTGTTGCTTGCTAATTTGTGGCTTGTTTCCAACCTGGTGGCTCTTAAACTAACTAATATCGTGTTTGCTTGTCTTTGCAAACCCTTTGAGCTTTATTGGTGGGCTAGTGAGGAGAGTCAACTAGTGCCACACACACTTGCATATCTCTTAACAAAGCTTCCGCACAGCCGGTGTGTGACACATTGCCAAGACATCTCATCAATATCTTTTGCAAATATGGTGTTATGTGGCAGCCTCATGAGGTGGGACACATGCTAATGAGGAAACACCTCCACATGCTTCCCTCCGCGGTCGAGTCACATCAACAAAGGCTAGCACACAGTGCCTTATCTCTAGGCTCGAGAAGAGAGATGCCTCAGATTGCTTCCAACACGCCTCACTCGGTTGAGGGTTCATCGCATGAGCACATTATCTCTCCTTCATGGTTGACATGGTCAAAGTCCCATCGGTCTAACAGAGTAGCCTAACCCAACGTGTACCCAATGCCAGAAGTGTGCACTTGTCCCTTAGCCGAGCTCCTCTATCCATGATGCTCACTCGGTTTGCTTGGCTTACTTAGACAACCCTGCCGAGTGGCAACATGATCTTCTCCATAGTAAATTCCTAGAAAGGCTACCCTAATATCAACTTCCTAGTGTGGGAGCAGGGCCTAGGTAACTTGCTCGGGATCACTAGAGGACTTGTGGCTTGGAGACTAGAATTAAGGGATCATTAGGATTGCTTAGCTTGCCCCCTTGGGGTATCCCAACCTTGATCAGTCTTGGTGAGAGGGACAACCACAAGAAGATAAACTATTGACCAAGGTCCACACCTTAGAAGTTGTCTCATACTAACGCTTCTTATATAGTCCCTGAGGTTTAACATATCTACCATCTAAGATCCTGTCATATGACCCCTGAGGTTTGATTGTGGTACGAAAGGTAGTGGAGAAACCTTTAAAATGTCAAACCAATGGGGTTGAGCCACCTGTCCAAGGTTGAGCTGCCCCCTGTAGCTTGATCCTCCTATATCAGGGCTTGATGCATATGTAAAGAGTGATTCATCTTCTCCATCATCTTCTACATTTCCAGCAAGACATGAAGATTTTACTTCATTACCTCTCGTTCTCCTGATATTTCTTTAGTGCTTTCTTCCTATTCTTGTAGTGACCTCCAAAGCATCTCAATGGCCGTCATCTTCCTAGAAGGTCCCATCCAGCCATGTCACCTCCTACTATACATAGTAACTAGATGGTCAATTTATGGGAGGTTGTGATGGTGTTGGTTCACCAGAGGAGTGGTCAATTTAACTTCATGAAGTCTACAGAATTAGGTGTTATTTGCCACAAAATTAATTTGTAACAAAATCATCAAAAGCAAACTTATTAAAAAGAATGCCTTGCTGAAGCAGGCTTCTTGAATTTTTTCCCTTGCATACTTTCTTTGGTACTTTTTTGTTGTTTAAGCTTTAGAATCTATTGAATGTTATTGATTTTGTTTGGTTCTTTTATCTTCTTTCATCTTATTGAATTACAGACATTGCATTATCAGCTTCGAAAGGAAAGAGAAAAACATGGAGTTGATGTTCATTTCCTTATGATTGATAGGTATGCGTATAATTTGATTATATGTTAGTTTGTCTGGCTTGATGTTAATATCTATTCTGTAAATCATTTAAACCAACACTAATTTGAATGTAAGATGAGAGCAGCAATGAATTCCGTAAGTTAAAAAGAGTTTGCTGTTACTCACCCTGATAATGTGAAGTTTTTGTGGAACTTATTTTGTGTAGTGATAGAACTAGACACGCAGATGGCTATTGATTGTGCATGTTATTTAGAATATTTCATATGTTTGGTATATACATTAAAGCATGTAAACTCCAATAAATTTTTATTATCATAAAATCCCTGTACTTATAATTATAAAATGGATTATTAGTGATAATTTTCAGCTCCTTGATTCTTCCCTGCTATCTTTCTTTCCTATTTTTGTTTCATGTTGCTTGCATGATTGACACCCATTATGGAGTAATATGATATTTGTTTAATTTCAAGTAATAACATGACAGGATAATATATGTTTAAATATCTTTCTTTAGGTGTTATGTTATTTGGGTTTCTTCCTTTTACCTCATTTATAAGAAAATTACTGTTCACCATGATAAGAAATGACATTATTTTATGTCTCTCAACCTACAAATTTTGCATTGTGAACTTGTGGAAGTTTTATTGTTCTTGAATTGGGAAACTAATTTGATGAACCAGTGGGTCTGAATCTACAATTTCATTTTGTACCAGCATTGGGGCTTTTTACTGGATTGATCGTGCTTCAACATCTTTAGCGGTAATGGGCAACAACAGGTAATAGTCCCCATAATTAATTTGCTGCACATGGGCCTGGGTACATGGTTCAAATGTTAGGGTGAGTTTTCTATTCATGGGTTTATTATTGGGTCCAGTTATTCTAAAGAGTTAAAAAATTTAAAGTTCCCCTTTTGAGGACCTAGTCTTTGTAGAACTGGGAGAAGTACAAAAAAAATACATATATAATTTTTCTATTCAATGGAGTTTTGAGTTATGAGATGGTATATTTTTGTAAGTTTGCTTAATCCTTGCAAGGTTGAACTCTTTTTCTTCGTTTTGTTTTCTTTGTATTGTCTTCTTCTTTTCACAAAGCAATCAAGTTAACGTTCCTGCTGGCAGCCTCCAAACCCTAGCCTATCAATTCTTAATAAACCTTAACCCCTTCCTCTGCCTTTTGATCATCACTTTCAATTTATCGTCTTTAGGTTAGTGGCTATCCAGTGCTTCTTGGATTAGGAATTTTAAAATCCAGCTGCCTACCTTTTGAAGACCAAGCCAATTGTAGCCTCTTTTGATTCATTGGTTATACTACCTTTCTTTTGCCTTCTAGAATGTCAAATGCACAAGCTTCTGTTGACCTAGACCCGCCACACAGCTAATATTAGCAGCACTGATCCAAGTTTGCTAAAGTTATCCTTACATTTGATGGTTTGTTATTTTCTCAACTACATTTATTCCAAGTTTGTATGTTGTGGCTCTTTTTAAAAACCAAGCCTTGCTTAGTTGTTCGTTTACAAACCCGACATTTTTCTCTCCATCATTTAGAAATCCAAGTTCATAAACTGTCGGACTTGTTTTTTTAATTGTTCTTCATTTACAAATCTCTACACTGTTCCTTCTTATCAATTAAATCCCCAAGTTTTTGAACTTTTGGAAACCTTTTTTCCACCATAAAACCATATGTGGATAGCCATATCTTTAGTACTTAATGCTGTCTAACATTAGATTTACATATATAATTAGGGATGGCAATGGAGGTTAATGAGGTGGATATTAATTCCCCATCCCCATTCCCTTATAATAAATTTTCTCCATTCCCATGGGTACCACCCTCCCCATTTCTTAATGAGTTTGGATTTTCCCCAACCCACTTTAATCCCCATTTTTATTTTATTTTTATTTTTTATATTTAATGTTAACAACCACTTTTTTTTTTTTTTTTTTTTTCAAGGTTCACAACAAAAGCTAAATATACCTTTAATAATTTTTCTTTCTTTTTTAATCTATACTATTATAAAGTGAGCAGGAACTTTGGTGTCTTGAAGCTTTACTCTCCTCATGCCATGTGGCAGTATTTTTTATTTTTTTAAAAAAAGTTAAACAAAGAGATGGGAAAGGCTTGAACCCATGACCATGGGTTTAAGTACGAGGACTCACACCACTTAAGCTAAGTACACATTATAATATTAATTTCATTATTATTTTTTTTTATTCCTACTTATTTAAATTGCACACATATCGTGTGTGCCACCCACTAGTATATATAAACCAAACCAAACCAAACCCTAAAACTTTTTTTTAAGGTTCACAACAAAAGTTAAATATACCTTCAATCTTTTTTCTTTCTTTTTTAATATATTTAATGTTAACAATTTTTTTTTCTTTTTTTCTTTTTTTTAAGGTTTTAGCTAAATATACCTGCAATCTTTTTTCTTTCTTTTTTAATATATTTAATGTTAACAACTTATTTATTTTATTTTATTTTATTTTTATTTTTTTTAAGGTTCACAACAAAAGCAATATACGTTCAATCTTATTTTATTTTATTTTATTTGGTTCAACAACAAAATCAAATAAACATTAATTAATTAATTAAAAAGTTTGTTTTATAATAATCAAATATATAATTTTGAGACAATCAAATAAGTTTTAGTAATTGAAAAAAAAATGTGAAAGAACGTGGAAGATTAAAAAAAAAATTACAACCATCTCTCTCTCTCTCACTCTCACTCTCACTCTCTCCCTTACATGTTATAAGAACCTATTTACAATGTTATAAGAGCCTATTTGAAGAAATAAAATGTGAAAGAACCTGTCAGAAGAAAGTGTTATAAGACCCATATTAAATTGCATCAGGGCATAAACTAGGAATTGCTTGTTGATCTCTTAGCCACGAACATTTTAGACATTAAACCATCTTTTTCTTAGCAAATTTGAACCATTCATTTTAATTTATCCAAAATCTAATTATACCTTTTAACAATCTAAACCACTCATTTTAAGATATCTATGCCTTACCACACCCAATCCATCCTCCATCTTCTTCCTTTAGTCCCCCACGAATTTTGTTGTTCCTTTAGTCCCCCACGAATTTTGTTGTTTGTTACTTTTAAAAAACAAAAAATGTTTTTTTCAATTAAATTTTTACTAATTTCACAACAGCATCACCACTATTCTCACCTTCACTATCACACTACCATCACCATAGCGACTACCATCATCACTGCCGCCATCACCCCATATCACAATCTCTACTTTCACTTTCGTTCCATCACCACCACCACCAAATATAAAAAAATATATTTTTAATTTTTTTATAAAAAATATTTTTCATTAAAAAATATTTTCTATCTAAATAAATGAAGCATAACATTGGGAAACAAGCTGATTTCAGTTAAATCTGTTCATAACTAAGAAAAATTCTTTTAATTTAAAAAAAATTATTTAGTATGACTTTGTATCCCCTTTTTGTTTTTCCAGCAAATAAATCTTTGTATCTATGCTTTCTAACCAATCACGACTTATGCTTGTTTCGATTCTCTACAATTTCCTTATTTTCAAATACATTCATATATATATATATATATATATGTGTTGTATGAATTGTGTGATAACATAAAACAAATAGATTCATACTTGTTAATTGAAATTTCGGAACAAGCAAACCATTCTGAAAATTACAATACATAACAAAATAAAATAACATAGAAAAGCAAACCGAAACCTACACTAGACAGTGTCCTTAATTTTTTTAAATAAATTTAAAAAATTCTAGATATGCATAAAATTTGACAAGAATAATGTGACAATGTTAATTAATGTGTATTTGATTTTATTGTTGAGCCAAATAAAATAAAATAAGATTGAATGTATATTTAGCTTTTGTTGTGAACCTTATAAAATTTGACAAGAATAATGTGACAATGTTAATTAATGTGTATTTGATTTTATTGTTGAGCCAAATAAAATAAAATAAGATTGAATGTATATTTAGCTTTGGTTGTGAATCTTAAAAATTAAAAAAAAAAAAATGGTTGTGAACCTTAAAAATAAAAAAAATAATAAAAAAAAAGATTGGATGTATATTTAGCTTTGGTTGTGGATTTTAAAAAAAAAAAAAAAAAAAGTTGGTTGTGAACCTGAATAAATAAATAAAAGAAAAAAGATTGAATGTATATTTAGTTTTGGTTGTGAATCCTTGTGGATATTTAGTGGGTACCCATCCCCTGTGGATATTTAAAAAATATCACTTACCCTACCCAATGGATAAGAAAAAAAGGAAAAAAGTCATGTATTTGGGTTGGGTCTCCATGGATATCGACAGGGTAGATTATCCATTGCCATCCCTATATATAATTGATATATTTTATTTTAAACCTTGATTCCCATTTTATTTTTGCAAATTTTTCAAGAATGTCTCCCGCAAATGTCTAGCCATGGATAGGTGTCTTGTGCATGTAAGCAAAGTCTATTTGGTTTCAAAACAGTTTTTTTCCTCGTAAAAAATCATAGGAGACGCTAATATATTTTTGTCATGTATGTGTCTATGGATTGGTCTTTTCTATTCATGTGTTTGTCTTGGGTCTAGATCTGCTACAGCGCAAAAATGTCTTAGTTTCCTACTATGATGTCTTTCTCCGAGTTGAAATATGTTTGACACGTGTGTCTGTGGAGTGGGTTTCTTAACTTTACACATGTTTAAAAAACCTATTTAAATAACCAAAGCCAATTTTAACTTATTTCCTAACCAGGGTAAAACGTGATTGACAAACACATTTTTTGAAAGCGTAATTTTAATAGCTTCTTGGCTGTAGTCAACTAATGTTAGAAGTCTAAAAATATTTGAAGTTTGAAGAAAAAATGATTAATAATAATTTTTTTTCTTTAATACTTCAAAAATTTAGAAGACTTCTAACATTAGTAGGCTTCCAAGTGTGGTTAGCAATCATGCCTTTACATAGCGTGCTTGACAATCACATTGTACTTGGGTTTCGCAAATAAGTTAAAGCCAACCCAGATGAAATAATTGAGTTTTTTAAAAACATTTGTTCAATAAAGAAGCTCGTGGAGTGTTGGTATTTCAAGTGTTAGACATGGACATGGTACTCCAGGAGGTGTGTCCGTGTTTGTGGTGGATTAGATGAGATCTGTCATCTCTGGTCCGCTAACATAACTACATCGAGAGCTATGTGCACTGTCAGTCTCAAATTCATTGATATCTTGTCTTTTGCATTTCATCACTTATAATCCTTTTAGCTCCTCTCCAGTTTGGCTTCTCCAACTTGAATGAATTCACTCCTTGGTGGGTCGTTCCGTTATATGGAACCAGAACGGAAGCGTGGTATGCACATGCTCTATAATGTGATACGATGAGGATAGACTTGTCTAGATTATACTATTAGAATTTAAGCTACTCCTAGAAAAATTTTCTTTTACCACTTAGACATTCAATAAAATGTTGTTTATTTATTTATTTTTTCAGATTATTATTGAAAAGGACATTTCTGTGATTATTATGGCCCATTTTTTTACATTTTGTTATGCCAAAACTACACTCTCCTTAGACTTTCATTATATTTAATTTCTTTCCTCTTAAAGAAACCTTAAGGGAAATTATTGAAATTTTTTTGATCGTTTTGAATTGCTAAATTCACTGTTTTAGAATCTAAGTGTACCATGTTTTGGAACGTACATACCAAAACTTAAATTGATAATTTATAAGTGTTTTCTGACTTTGAACTGGTCCAACCATCATTGACAATTTCCCATCTTCTAATCTTTGTCAAGTGTCACCTTTAACTGAAAATATGTTTGTCTGCTTAGAAAGAAGGGAACAAATAACAAGAAAAATCAAATATTAAGGTGGAGAGAGGAGTTTGAATGCTTGATGCGAGGAGAGAGCAATTAGGCTTCTCTCTGAAATATTGTTACCTATTGTAGAATATTTGATTTGTTAAAATTACAAGAACGCACATGTTTTTCTGAAAAGCTTACTGATTAACTGAAACCTGCCTTTTTTTGGTTAGCTTACTCACACAGACACACACACAAAAACACAAAAGCCCACAATTATTAATATATATATTCTTTTTTTTGTGGGGAGGGAGGCTCTTGGCAATCACTGTACATTGCAGCATTCAAAAGATGGTAAAACAAAAGTACATTCTTCATCAGGATCTCTGAATTATGCATCTCACTTTTATCACCCTTACATTCTGTCACTTTTCAATTACTTTGCAAGACATTGAACTTTTTACTCACTGCATTTCTTGTTGCTGCTGCCATTGGTCAGTGCATAAACTGCTGCTAGTAGACTGGATGTGATCTGAATCACATAAACCTATAGAATTTGTCTAATCCATTTTTTTTTGTGTTCCCTAAAGGTCCTAACAATTAATTAACCTCAAAAGATGAACCTGTGATTTTATATTATTTTGGTTACGTAGTGTTTTAAAAGGTGCGCTTAGGCGCACGCCTAAGCGTGAGGCGCAGCCTTGCGCTTCGAACAGGTCGAGGCGAGGCACAATATGCAAGGCACAGCTTAGGCGCTGAGGCGAGGGCTTTTTTTCGAGGCGCAAGGCGTGGGCTTCATGTGCTTTACCTATTTTTCTACTTCAATTGTTGATTAAGTGCTTTTTTTGTGGGCATACCCACAGGATTCAAAACTCTTCAATATAAAATGACCAAATGTGGTTAAAAGAGAGCAGAAAGTGATAAAAGATTGAATGGTATGCTTTATATCTTTTGTTGGATATTATATTTCTAATTTTTAGAAGATTGAATGTTATGTTTAGAGATTATCAAAAATGGTTAAGTTTTTTTAATTATATATATACATATATATTTGTTATGTTGAAAATTTTGCGTATTTTATAATTTTGCTTTTCTTCTACTACTTGAGCTTCGCTTTGGTGAGGCCCGCACTTAGAGACTATCGAAAGGAAAATGTTTGAGGGCCACAATTTTTGTGGCTACAATGGCTCAAAACTGTCAAAACGACGTCTGACGTCGTTTTGACAGTTTTGAGCCATTGGGGCCACATCGTTTTGACAGTTTTGAGCTATTGTGGCTACAAAAATTGTGGCCCTCTAGCATTGTTGCTATCAAAAATGGTTATTATTTGTTAAATTATATATATATATATATATATATATTTGTTATGTTGAAAATTTTGCCTATTTTATAATTTTGCTTTTCTTCTACTACTTGAGTTTTGCTTTGGTGAGGCACGCGCTTCGCCTCGCGCCTCGCTCTTAGGCTATAGGAGACCTTATCGCCTCGGTGCGCCTAGAGCCTTTTAAAACACTTTACATTGATGGAGTTAGATTCTTGGATTGAATAGCACTTTCAGACTTCAATGTTTATTAAAATTTCTCCCTCAGTTTGGATCCTTTAAAATCTAATGGATTTGTAATGGATTAAATTGTATTATACACTGATCCAGTCCAGATTTGCTCCGTTTGCAGCCGTGAATTGACATGTTTATCCCTACTGTTTGATTTATATCACACATTCATTGTCGTTCAATTTCATTCTTCCTACGGTCTAGCATACGCACCATTTTGGTCCTTTTATGCTGATGCATATAATTAATCATCAAGAATTGCATGTTCTTCCGCCATCATCTATAGCAATCTCATAATCAAGAATTAATTGTTTGGTGCGTAGGAAAAGCCACTCCCTTCAAACTGTGTCAGAAACTGTAGTTCTGGAGATCAGAAAACTTTTGCAGGTGTATCCCATGCTTGTTTTAGCTACAAAAGCAGCAAGTTTAGGGGATAAATATTCAACAAGTGAAGCAAAAAGGTAATTCCTGAAAGATTTGATGGGTTGGTAATTTCCGTTTACTTTCTTTCACAACTAACCTACAATTGACCATTCTCTAATGCCACATATGTGGGATTTTTTTCTTTTCTCTTCTTAAAAAGATTTGTGCAAAGCATGCAAGATATTTGCATAAATTTAAATGGCTAAAAGTATAGAACATTTTGTGGGAAGCATGCACGGAAAGTAAGTATACTGGCACAAGTAACAATGTGTGTGTGTGTGTGAGAGAGAGAGAGAGAGAGAGAGAACTGTCTACGTGGGGTGGTTGATGATCAAGTTGTCAAAAGAGGATGATGAAGAAGAACTCTTCTCCCTGAGAGAGGGGTTGAAGTAGAAATCGATGGGTGCATTTTGGACAGGAGGACTTGCAGTGGTTGTCTGCAACCCTTTTGTTGTTCTCTCTAGCAATAGATCACTTTTTCAACACACACAAGTTTGCTTCCACTATTTTTGGTTTTGCCTTTTTTCCTGGTTTGTGTCTGTGATTCTGTTGGGTAGTTTCCTTTTTCTAAGGGAAGTTCTTTTGAGGTTGATAGTTTAAGATCTTGATGCGAGAGTACATTGGAGGCAACCATATCTCTTTGGTCAGTAATTTGGTGCCTGGTATGAACCGAGTATATTTTACTTGATTGGGCTGTCTCCCCAATTTACATGTTTTATGGATTGATGCTTTTACATATTGGAAATTTTGGTACATGGCTTTTTTAATTGTGTGTTCACTATCAGTTTGGAAATCCTAACACCATCAATCTTCAATATCATTCCTCAAAAGCATGCCATTTCACTTGACATCATAAAGTAATTTCTATTTGTGGTCTAATGTGGCAATATGTGGATCTGTATTTCAATTGAAGTTGTGGATTTATTGCCCATCAAATCTTTGTAACAGGAATTCAAGAAAATGGTGTTCAGCAAATGCTTCAGATAGTGGTCCTCAAAATCTTTTATGTCGTGAATATATGCCTTCAATCTGGCAGGTATTATTCTGTTAGACTGTCGATTGCCTACCTTTGTTTCAGCAAGTTATAAGCTTATATCTTGATAACTTAGATGACTAGATATCATTTTACTTTTCCATATTTTACTGATGACAGAAAACAAAGCAATTTTAGTATGTCTGAAATAAATATGTTAGTCAATTTTGGATCTCATGCTGTTTGTTATTCAACATGCAATTAAATTTTTTGATCCATCTGTATTTTATGAACCTCGTGAAGAAATTTAGTAATTAATGTCAGCCTGCTTGGTTACTACTGATGTTTATTGAAAGGAAAAAAATAAAAAAGTAAAAAACAGAGAGAAGTGGCTAGGCTTGTTAAATTATTGTTTGCAACTGATCTACTTTTCAGCATGAAGGGAAATTAGGCTCAATTATAAATACTCATTAGCCACTTCTACTGATTGCATTGATATTGAATCAGGGTTTCCCATTTGTCTGAATTGTATTTACCGCCAACTGCTGAAAATTTGATAATTATATCCTCACAATTGTATGTGTTTTGATTGCTGCAGTCTTTTGTCACGCATCGAGTACTTGTACGACCTTCAGGTTTGGCAGCAGGCAACTGTGGCTTACGTCATGCTCCCAATTGTTCTCTCTCTCTCTCACACACACGCAAGCGCACACACAAAAAAAATAATGATATAAAAAAAAACTGGTTTCGGACTCTTTTCTTCACTGAATGTGGATTTATGTTGTTTTTAATGTGTTGCAGATGACAGCAGCAAGCATCAAAATTACCCAATATATTGGTCAGAGTGGTTGTTGCCATCACTAAGTATATTGGACAAATTTATAGTTACAGATGTATGATCCCAATTTTTTGTCTTTTCACTATTTCATATGCAGAATATCAAGTAAATTAATGTTTGGTATATATTATTTGGTATCATTCTCATTTTTGTTTCGTAATTGCAGGTTGGTGTCTTCACTATACCTTGAAATGCTTCTGTGTTAAAAATGTAGTTGTCTTGCTTATCTCCTTATTTCACGATCTCTCTCTTTTTATTTCAGGTCAAAGTTGTTATTTGAATATATAAGTTGGTCCTTTTTTTAGTCTCCTTGAATTTTGTAAAGCTGTCATCTTTGGCTGCTGCTAAAGACATTCCTCCAAAATTTTCTTCTACGCTTAGGCCTCGTTTGGGAACAGGCTTTTTTAGTAACTTTTTGATTTTTTAACTAAAATGTGATATAAAAAAAACTAGTATGTTTGGGATGACTTTTTGACTTTTTATGAAAAGATTTGCAAAAAGTAGAGAGAAAAAATAATCTTTGACTTTTTGGTATGGGTTGTTGGTTTTTTAGGTTTTTTAGTAACTTTCTAGTTTTTTGGCTAAACCGGTTGCTTCCCAAACGAGACCTTAGACTCACATGTAAGAGTGTTTCTTCCTAAGGTATTGTTGGAACAATCTTTGTAATGTAGAATACATGAAACAAATCAAACAAATAAATAAATTAACTTACAAAATTTATTTATCGGAGAACAATAGGAACTCTAAAGATCAAGTCAAGTGTGTGGCACTCTGTTCTTGAGACAGATTCGCCGCCGCACAGGTGTTTACAGACGAATGATGTCTATCTCTCAAAATATAATGATCAAATGCAAGATTGAAGCAAGCAGTGCAATCAAAATTTGTCTGCGAATCAAAACTTATGTTCTGCAACTCTTAAATCTCTCTAAAACCAATATGAAGAATAAATGCAAGGCAGAAGAAAAATGGGTATCAATTGAATGAATGAATTTGCTGGAAAGGCTTGTATTTATAAACATAGTGGTGCCTGTTCGGAAAGGTAGAAAAACCCTCTAAATGAATGCAAGTTTGAATTGTCGAAGAGGAAGAATAGAGGTAACCAAAGGGACATTGTTGGGTTTGAATTTCCAAATTTGAGTTAAAAATTTCTCACAAAATTTTGAATTATTTCATTTTAGAAAATTAAATTTCCCTCAAGAATTTGAAAAAAGTAAAGGTAGGACCCAACCCACGTCATGCGCTTGGTCCATAACTCTCTCCTCCACAAAACTTGGGTGCCTTTTGAGACCCATCCCAAATGTGTCAACTTAGAGTTTATATATAAACTCTCTCTTTGTTTCAATATGGAACAATTCAAAATATAACAATTTACATTTGTTTCTTCAACTTTCAACTTCTCGAAGTTGAAAATGACATCAATTTATCATTCATCTATAAATGATTTTGACAAATTGACTTCAATTTGTGACTTACCATGTGGTAACACGTCACCATTCAGACCTACCTCAAAGATGTGTGAGTCCCACTTGAATTTACGTTCCAAGTTGATCCAAAATAAGCCTATAAAATCACTTTTTTCAACAGGTACAATATTTATGATTATGTAATGGAGTGTAAAGAAATTGAGTCTACTTAGAAGCTCTCATACAAGGGCCTTTTCCCAAATTAAGCCAAATTAGCAACTTATTTTTCAAACTAGGCCTAGTTTGGACGGAATTCCTAAATTAGGCTAAAACGTGGTTGTAAACCACGCTTTCACCGTTTTTGTACTTATCGCGCGGAAATTTTGTGAAATCGTAAAAGCGTGTTTTCAAATCACGCTTTTAATTAAGAAAGCGAGGTTACAAATCACGTTTTTAATTAAATTTTTTTTTTCTTGAAAACGTGGTTGTGAACCATGCTTTTAAGTGAAATTTTTTTTTTCCTGAAAACGTAGTTGTGGACCACGCTTTTAACTAAAAAAAAATTTCTTCTGAAAATGTGGTTGTGAACCATGCTTTTACTGTGTAAATTTTTTTTTTCATAAAACGTGGTTTACAACCACGCTTTTACTGTGCTTTTAAATAAATTTTTTTTTTCTTCAGAAAATCTAGTTCAATACAGTTTTTAAATTATTCATATAAAATATCATCTTGTTCACAATCACGCTTTTACTACCGAAATACAATTTTTAAGGAAAGCGTGACCACTCTCTGTTGATTATTATTATTATTATTATTATTATTATTATTATTATTCAATCCATATTTTATAATTCGCTCAATCATCTTGTAGATCTCTATATATAAATTATTTATATAAAATATCGTATTAAATTTGTAATCTTAACTACCAAATTTTATTATTTTAATATTTAAAAATCAATTATATAATTTGGAAATTATGTTTCACATCCATTATTTTTTTTTTAAATGATAAAATTATATGTACGATTATCAGATCAATTTGATATTTACATAAATAATTTGTACATTAAATTTTTAAAAAATAAACAGCATGCATTGTCTAAAGAGTAGTGAATTGTGTAAAAAATGTACATTAAATATTTGCTTAATTTACTTGATATTTTTTAAATTGTTATTTAAATATAAGATTTTAAATAAATTTTTATTTTGTTATATAATTCAAATATGATTTAAAAAGATCGATGATGGACAAAAGTAAAAACAACAAATTAAAAATTAAAAATTAAAAAAGAAGAAGAAAATAATAGTCTCGAGACACGCACCCTCTCAGAGAACATTTTGCGTAGTTTCGGAGAAATTTTGTCGGGGTGTAGACGTCCCCAAACGTCCCCAAACGTCCCGGGAGGAAATCCCCCGTTTTGTTCATATGGGCTCACTACGGTTAAGACTCAAAAGTCACGGTCCTGTATCTAATATCGCAGAGTGCAATGCAAGACCGATGAATCATCAAAGAGTCCAAATCTGGTAAATCGTTTTTAAAAACAGATTTTTTTGAAAGAAGTGCCAAACATGGAATGCTTTGCCAGATACAGAATCGCCACCTAAATATTTTATTTTTGGAAAAATTTAGGAAACCCTGACTCGTTGCCTAAGGCCACGTGTCCGTCATCACCAAAGTTGCCACGGCTTGGGAACTTGAGTACGATTGGAGAAGGTCACTTCGTGAGCACCCCTGCTCGCCCGATCAAAGATCGGCCTCTACTAACTATGATATCTAGTTTTGAAAAAATTATGCGTTCTTATTCCGGTTATTAGCCTAGATTTACTATATGATGCGCACAGCATACAAGTATAGACCGGATCGCCTAAATTGGAACAACACATCTCGTGTTTGTTTTGAAAATGGTTTGCTACTCGCAAGTAGGCTTAAAATGCAGATTTTGCCACCCTCAGGTGGGCTTAGAAAAGCAAGATGATTTGTCACTCTCAAGTGGACTTAAAACTCACAATTGATGAATTGTTCCAATTCAAATAACCCAACCTTCACCCACAGGCATTCAGGCAGGTATAGCACATAAGCAATTAGCCTCATGATAAGCATGCTATCATGGTAGTTACTCACACACATGTGGGGATGCTAAAGCATAAACACTTACCAAGTATTCTAAGCCAAAACAGAAACTAGTTAGAAATCAATGCATGATCCTAACTATACAGAAGTGCCTAATGCAACACATGCAAAAATGCAACTACAATAGACTCGACTATTCTAAAATGACATGTGAAATGCTACAGCTAACAAGTATTCAACTCGGAATTGAAATACAAATGCAGTTAGTATGATGCGCCGAGTCCGGTGCATGCAAGACAGATGAATGGATGCAAACATGTGAGCATAAGTATGCTAATTGAAACATGTCCTAATCTAACCATCATAAGCTGGTAAATAAAAAGGAGAAAGACGTGGGGTTAGAAGACATACATTGCACGTACGCACACTTATTACAATTGTGCCCTCGCTCGGAGGGTCCGAATAAATAATACAGTTCGAATGAATAATTACAGTCCGAATAAATAATTACAGTCCGAATAAGTACAAAATCTTAATTAATTAACAACTTAACTAAGAAAGCGGATAAATTAGCATGCAAGCTATGGACCGCCTCAGCTCTGGTCCGAATGATGAATGATGCATGTTCGAGTTGCCTTGCGCGGAAATACATTGCGATGCCCCGATTCGCCTCTGTTTGCAATTAATGTCGGAATGCTGTGCAAGGCTTTAGAAAGCTGTTGATTTCTGATTTGCTGCAACAGAGAGCAAGAAAGGGGCACAGCAAAGTATTTTCACATATGTATGCATGACTACTCTTCAGGGAGTGTAGTCCTCGATCCTCGTGCCACCAATCACGCATCTCGATGCATGATGGCCGAGGAGTCGAATTGCACGACTCGATGTGAAATGAAGCACATATAAACACAACAAGACCTAAACTCCATCATGGATAATCCGGAGTGTCGGCGACCGGGAATTGAGACAACGTTCCGTCACTCGGAGTACGAAACGTCCCTCGTTTCCCGTGCTTGGACTAACTCCTATCCCAAACACAATGCCAATGAGATGGCATACACATAACATGCAACCTAGCATACGTAATGCTATGAAATGGCATACACAATGCTCGATGTAACATGGCATGTACAATGCACTAACACGCAACCTAGCATAGGCAATGCTATGAACTAAAATGGCATACACAATGATAATGGACTTTACACCAACATGAGTGGACCTCAGCCACACTCACATCAGTGGCCATGAGATGGAAAAGAGACAACCGAAATGCGTGCACACGTGCACGCAGACCGAGGACCGAACCTAAGGCATAAAATGTCACTCTACCAAAGCATGGCAAGGGATGAAAGGTGGCATACAAACATGTAATTTCCAACACTGAAACATGATGCTAAATGGTCTCGAAACGTGGAAATATGGCACCCGATGCATGAAATATGCCCCAAAACTCAAAGCTAGGCACATGTATTGAATTATAACTATGCAAAGCAAGCATTATTTGGCCATGAAGTACAAAGACAGAGCTAAGGCAGTCCCAAAACATGCACATTTCTAGTTTAAAGCATGGCCAAAAAGTGCTAACATGATGGACTAAAATAGCATGCAAATTTGACTAGCAAGCATGGTTTACATGGCATGTATATGAAGCGTATGAGAACTCATCAAACCAGCCAAAAACAGTGAATAAAACATGACAAAATATGCCCAAATAACCACTGAAATGCAGCCAACATGTGCGAAAATGATGAGCTCCTTTGAAAGGGCATGCAAGGGGTTACTCAACACATATATGATGGACACTTAGCATAGCAAAACCAACTTTGGAAATCAAATATGACGGCCCTAAAACTCACCAAAAAGGGCCTGAAATTGATCAATAAAGCATACAATGAAAGATCCTCTTGAAAAGCCTTGAGGAGGGTTGTTCCACACATGCATGAGGGACATAAAATATGGCCAAAAGGGGCTTGGGCAGAGCTAAGGCAGA